AAAAAAAAAAAAAGAATGAAATGGGATTTTCAGCCCTGCTCACCGCTAGTCTTGTCGAAGGCATACCCTCCTAATCTGAGTGTGATGCCACACTTATGACAGGTGAAGCAGCTCCTATGGAAGAACTTTCCCTCGGCGCTGACGCGCTCCACCACGTACACCATTTCCCCACAGAAGTAGCACTGCTCACTGTTGGTCATCACTTCAGGCTCCAGAGGAGCAGCAGGAACCGGATGGACTTCAGGAGACTCAAGTAGCTCTGAAGTCTGAGTGGAGAATCATTCAAATAATAAAAGTTATTTTCTCTTTACTCATCACTGAAAGCTGAGCTGATTAAAGGAATAAAACTCACGTTTTCCACATCTCCCATCCTGTCCTCAGGCTTTGCAACTCGTTTCAGAGTTGCCAGCTTTTCCTGTGGACAAATACGGACATAAGAGTCGAACACCGCACGCTGAACAAGAACCGCTTTCTGAATGAGCCTCGGTAGACGTCTGTGTCACATATTTCTGCGTGCTGTGTCAGCCCCGTCTAGGTGGGCATACCTTTTGTCTTTGCAGTGAGCGGTTCCTCAGCTTGCTCAGGAAAATGACAGCCGACTGTGTCCGAGCGAGACTCGGAGACTTGGACGGCGGTAGGGGGCCTGCAGGTTCTGCCGTCAAAAGAAAAGGAAAGAAACGTCAGACGGGAAAACAATTAATTATTAAGGCACTGGAACAATTTCACTTAATATTCACTGATGGTGCGTTTTTTTTTTCTAATGAAAGCTTTAAGCCACAACGCATCATGTTCGATTACTGCTGTGTTTTTTGTGGCGTCACATCAGCAGCAGCAGATTGTAACTTGCCAAACCCAATAGAAACTCTTCAGCCCCCAGTTATCACTACTACCACCCCCCCTTCTCCTTCAGATGAGGTTACAGAGACCGACTGCTCCCTCCTGCCTGCACATCACTCAGCAGATCCGAAGCAGAGCAGCATCGTCTCTACGAAACCCACCTCAACGCTCTACGCTGCAGCGCCTCCTCATTGAAATGCTTCTGCTGCAGACAGTCGAGGGAATAGCTGCCCCTGAGGAGAGGCTGCTCCCCCCTCGGCTCCGCGCCGTCTGCCCACTCTGCCTGCTGTTAGGCTGGCTCAGTGCAGGCGAGCGACACAACCGGTACAGGCTGGCTCTGAACATGGCACAAGCCTCTTAGGCCCAGTGAATTATGGGTAGCCTGCTTTTAAAGAGACAGTCCACACTTTATCTCTAAAGGGAGAAAAAAAAAACCCTATTTTGAGGTGATGCTGACACTGATGTCTAAGCAACCATCTTGAGGAAGACAGGTGCATCTCAATAAATCTGAATATCAATGAAAAGCTAATTTATTCTATTTGATTCGCTGCCTAACAGCTAATAAAAACCCATATTTCAACAGACTGCTCTTTTTTTGTATCAACCTTTCTTATCTGAATGTATAATTAATGCTTTATGCATTGCTTACAGAAATTTTGTGAGGTCTAAATGATGGCTAAAACCATTTATCAGATTAATCGATTATTGAAATAATGGTCAACTAATTTAGCGATTGATTAATCGTTAACTGGAGTATAGAGACGGTAAAATATGCCTTTAGCTGACAGAGCGGCCAACTTAGAGCAGGAATTATACCAAGATTGTAAAATAATATAGAAACATTTTGCTTTTAAGATATTAAAAAGTCAATATGCTCTATCCAGAACTCCACATGAGTTTAAACTGGTTTAATTTCGTAAAAAAGAATATGTGGCTATGTGATTATTAATCGATTAATTGAAAAAACAAACAGATTAATTGATTTGCAAAATAAATATTAGTTTAAATACATGTCTGGTTTGTTTTTAGCATCTTAAATCTAGAAATAGATTTAAACATTATCATAAACTATCGATTTAAACTCTAGCGTTAACTTTCAAGATAATCTAGAAAGTTTACGATAAAGCTTTTAGCTAATGTGTTAAATAATTTGTACTCTCTTTATTCCAATCAATAAACTTCAGCTTACAGGGAAAAGAAGTTTCTGCCTTGAGAGGATTTTGAAGCAAAGACAGAATCAATCATTCAGGAAAAGATAAAACACGCTGGGCGTATGGTGTAAGATTAGCGTCAATAAAATGTTGTGCATATATGGAAGAAAAACAGTCTAATTGGAATCTGCCTTTTTTTGTACACAGATTTTTAA